CTGTCATTCTTTGAGCACCTTCTTCCTTCTGGCACAAGATGGTCCAGGCTTACTCTCCCAGCCTTATCCATGGGCTCAGCCATTTGACTAAGGACCCTAGGTTCTTTTTAGTGGGGAGTAATATTGGAACTGAAAATCTGGAAGCTAGGTGTGCTCATTGCTAATGATGTGTCATTACTCATGTCCTTTTGGAGGACAGATGGGAAAATAGCCACTTCACATCATTCTTGCCTTCATTTTATATTTGTAGCTCCTTTCTCTCACCATAAGAAGGCTAGCTCCCAACGAAATCAATATATGCATGCCTTTGCTCAGTTCTACAATACCTGTAAACTTTGTTTAGAATTACTACACCCACACTACTCACAATAAACCTATTGATCTATTAAGTCAAATTTAAATTTTCTTCGCAAGGTTTTTTTTTTTTTTTTGGTCCTTTTACCTTCAGACTGAGAGGAATGAAAATACTGTAGCTAAAAGTTGCTTAGGGTCTTTCTTTTCCACTTTTCTTTAATATCGCTGTTACCCATTTGGTATGTAGTTAAGTTTATTTGCTTCTATTTGTTTCCAACTGGGAAGTTAAAAAAAAAAGTCCTTGTTGATTTAGCTTTTGACATTTTAATTATGATGTGTCTTGGTGTGGACCTGCCTGAGGTCATCTCTTTGGAGACTCTGTTCTTCATGACCTTGGATGTTTGTTTCATTCATCAGGTTGGGGAAGTTTTTAACCATTATTTTTTAAAATATGTTTTCTGTCTTTTTTTTCTTCTCCTTGTAGAACCCACATGATTTGAATGTTGGTGTGCTTGATGTTGTCTCAGAGGTTCCTTAAACTATCCTCACTTTTTAAATTCTTCTTTCTTTTTGCAGTTCTGATTGGGTGTTTCTGCTATCTTGTCTTCCAAATTGTTGATTTTTATCTTCTGCTTCATCTAATCTCCTGTTGATTCCATTTAATATATTCTTCATTTCAGTTCTTGTACTCTTCAATCCTGACTGGTTCTTTTTATGTTTTCTATTTTATTGATGAAATTCTTACCAAATTCACCTATGCTTCTCCTGGGTTCACTGAGCATCCTTATAACCAGTGTTTCGAACTCTTTATCTGATAGATTGCTTGTCTTTGTTTCCTTTAGTTTCCACTCCCCCCACCCCCAGGCTTTGTCATGGCCCTTCATTTGGGACATTTTTCTCTGTATCCTCATTTTGGCATTTTTTTTTTCCTGTGTTTGTTTCTATATATTAGGCAATACAACTACCTCTCCTGGTCTTGAAGGAGCAACTTTGTGTAGGAGCTACTCCTTTGTAGACTGCATGTGCTGGGTGCTTTTGGCAGGCCAGCTGGAGCTAGAGTATGCATGAGCCACAGGGAAGCCTGGGGGACAAGACTTAACAGGGCCTAGAGCTATAGCTGGAGTGGGAACAGGTCGAAAAGAATGTTTGAAGGCAAGCTGCAATGGGATTACCCTGGAAGACCCGTTGGAGTTGTAGCTAGAGTAGGCTCAGGCCTTGGACAGTCCTGGTGGCAAGCTACATCGGGAACTGAACTGAAGCTGGAGCAGGTGCAAGCTGCAGATTCCCAGAGGCGAGCTACTGGGGCTGTAGTTAAAGTGGGTATGGTCTGCAGGAGCTGTAACTAGAGTTAGTGTGAGCTGAGGGGAATCCTGGAGACAAGCCACAAGGCTAGAAGCTGAAGCTGGAGCAGAATTCAGGGAGATGTCTCTGTTTTTCCTCACTGTTGTGCAGAAGAAGTTCAATCAGCCTTCAGTTCTTCTTCAGGGGGAATTGCTTCCTGTAAGTATAAATTCTATGTGTTCCTGGGAGGAGGTGAGTTCAGGGTCTTCCTATGGTACTACCTTAGACTAGAAGCCCTTTATTAATTACTTTATTTAATATTTCTTTATTGTTTGATATTAGCCACCTACAAGGTGTGAGGTGGTATGTCACTGTGGTTTTGATTTGCATTTCACTAATAATTAGTGTTGTTGAGGTAGTGGCCAGAATTAAGCTTATGATTTTAGCTAAAATTAGCTCAGAAAAGAAAAATGTAAGAAAATCTGATTTATAGTTTTGAAACCATATGTAATTGTTTTTGGTTATAAGGTTACAATCTTTTATATTCAATATTTTAGGGAAAGTCTCATCTTCACACAATTCCTCCAATCAGATTGAAAAATATTACATGTCCTCTGTAATGTTTTAGATTCATAAAACTCTCTCTTTCTATATGTGTGTGTGTGCGCGCATGTGCGTGTGTATCCTTGCCATTAGACAACTAAAAATGGCAATGTAATTCTTGTCCAGAGATGATCCAAATTAACTTTCAGAGGAATTACAGTTCTGCTGGACAGATATCATTCAAAAACTTGGGGAAAATTTCTCATGGCACAACCCAGTTGATCGACATAACTTTCCTATTCACAAGAAGAGTAAGCATACTGTTCTGCAGGGGTATTTTATTAATTGTAAAGGAAACAAAATGTGTGAGAAAACTTATAGTCACCCAAAACCTGGCAATGGCCTGCCATACACATTCTCTGATGTACTTACAATCTCTGGGAAAGATTTAACTACCACACTACATCTGTGGGTTGGGAGTAGCAGCTCTGTCAAAATCTCCTTAGAGATGACTCTGTTGGAATTCTCGGGCAGTTCATTGCATTCCTGCTGAGTCTAGGTTCAATTCATTCAATTACTCTTCTATTCATTTAACAGATGTTTAGTGAGAATTTAGCCTGTGCTATCCACTGGGCGAGGCCCTGGAATGGACACTAAGATTAGATAGTAGGTAGACTTTCTGGTGGGTCCACCTTCAGATAACCCACCAGTGATCTTCCCTTACTCGACACAGGCTCTTTCTTCAAGCTGACTTTAATGAGTAATTCAGAAAACAGTGGAAGTTTATTTTATGTTGGGGTAGAATCTAACTTTGGCTGTTCATTAGTAGAAGGTATATACTATTTATGTGTGAAGAGAGAGAAAACAAAAGTGACAAGACACTCATATGAGACAAAGGATAAGGGAGAGAACACATCTTCCTATCAGATGGGTACCTATTCCATGCAAGGCCAAATGATTTTAAAAAGCTTTGAATTGAGGAGGTTGTGTTTTGTAATGTGGTGGTGTAGATGGATTCCAAATAAACCTTAATTAATTTTTAATAAACTACTGAATACCCACTCTTTGCCCAGTACTATTTTAGGTATAATGGAGATGCCAAAGAAGTGGAGTATGTGGTATGGTACCTCATGGATGGCATGCCTTCCTCCACTGAGCAGAGAGCATAGAATATTGGCTGTTTTGCTATACTGATAAGTACTCCTGGGCAAGGCTCCCTCCTTCAGAACTATCATTCCTGGCTGCTGTCCGAGCCTAATCAGACCACAACCAAGAGGGACAAATGTATAGCAAGAAAAACTTAGGATAACTGGCTCCTTGTATTGAGGGAGACTGCATACTGGAGGTACCCCGAAATATCTCATCAATTAAAAGAAGATATATGAGGTTATTATAGGATTTGGGGTACAGTAGAGTTTAAGTTAAATTTAAAAGAAACAATATTTTGGTAGGCACAAAACAAAAAAAGGGCTGAGTGTAAACTGATAAAGTTAAGATAGATGTGTCTAAAAATACGTCATCTGAAGCTCAGTATCTAGGTTGGAAATAAAGAATTCTTTGTGTCAAATTCACGTAGGTTATCCAGGCAAGAGTAGGATGTTTCCTTCCTATTGATATGATTTTAAACAGGAAATTTTCTGACAGTCTATGATTTTAGAGAACAAAGGTTTAAGTAAGAAAGCAGTGGTCAAAGGGATTGTGATGACACTTTACAGCTGCAGCCTGACCTTGGGAGGAATATTGTTTCCTTGAACTTTGCAGACAGCTTTATCTGTGTCTTACCTGCTATCTTTTAAAAAACAAAAACAAAAACAAGAAAACACGCTCAAAATGGAGTGGCTTATGCTGAGTTTCATGTCATCAAAGACTTAATTACATCTCAGCTCTACCAGAATTGGACTTCTAAACTAGTCAATTAGGAGTTACTTAATCAGCACTAGTTAGGTAATCTGCCTGATAGACTCCCACCATTCCCTAAAGGAAAGTCACTTTGCAGTAATCAACCTGCTTTTTTGCCTGTGTGACTTCCTTGTTCCTGCTCCCTTCTGCCTATATAAAAGGCTTTTATTTTGCATAGCTCCTTTTTATCTGCTAGATTGAATGTTGCCTGATTCAAATCAACTTTTGCTTAAATAAATACTTAAAATATTTTAATATGGCTTAGTTTATCTTTTACCCTGTCCCACTGTAATGAATGGCCAGTCTGATTCTTACTTTTTCAAAGGGAGCTTACGTTTTGCTTTCTCACTGCAAATTCACCGCATAACAGGCAGGTTCCTAGGCTGCGTACATTTTATTATACACTTTGGAAAACCATAGACATTTTTCTTCCAAAAGTGGACACAATACGGAAACCCTAACGCAAAGGGATTGTTCAGCCAGGTCCCCCTTCTCCCTCCACACACGCCTTTGCTTCTTTCTCCACCTCCTAAGGTGTCCAAAGGTCGTACGCACAAGTGTGAAACAAAAGAACCAGTAAGGTCCTTCTTGCTTTAAATCAAACTCCACGTGGCCTTTCTGAGGCTGTTGGTTGGGAACTGTGGCTTGGGAGAAAGAGTTCATGCTGTTTGAAATGATTAGTTTGGCTGCCTTCCCTGTGTCCTCCTCACGGAAGAGTCCGCGGCAAGTCGACCGGGAGAGAAGCCAAGCCGCCAGGCCACACTGAAAGCCAGCAGCCTTCCCGAACCAACTCCCCTCACATACTACGCCCAGCCGGCGCCTAGAGTCCTGGCCCTGCCCCTGACGGTCCCGCAGTTCCTTCAGCCCCGCCCCCGGCCCCATCCGGAGCCAGACTGCTGGCCCCGCCCCTGCATGGCGTCCCGGAACCTGGCTCGTAGCCCGACCTGCCGTCCCGCCCGGCCTGGTAAGGGTGAAACCGGCCTGCAGCTGCGAGCACCGGAGCAGCGGAGGGTGAACCTCCGTCCGGAAGTCGGGGGTTCGCGGCCATGACGGCTCCCGCACGCGGCTTCTCCCTGCTCCGCAGCCATCTGGGCCGAGTCCCGGGGCTGGGCGGGAGCGCGGCGGCGCTCGCGGGGCCGCAGGGGGTCGTCGGCCCCACGTTCCGGGGCTTTCGGAGCAGTGGCACGAGGTATGAGCTCTACTGGACGCTTAGTCTCTTTGGGTGTGGGTGGTTCGGGTTTGAAGGTAATGCCAGTGGGAGGGGCGGCGGGAGTGCGAGCGCGTGGGGCGAGCCGGGCCCTTGCGCGTGAAGCTCCAGGCTCCAGGGTACCCCTGCGGGGCGCTGGGGGCGAGGCCTGCCTCGGCTCGGAACTTGGCCTAGCGAACCACGCAGGCGGGTCCAGTTGGCCCGAAGTCTGGCAACCTGGACGTGCTGGACTGAGGGCTCCGGCACTAAAATGTTCCTTCTACGCAGCAGGTGCAGTTGAGTGATTTATGAGAAAGACATTTGAGTCCTTCAGGAACGGTGCCATTAAAATCGCATGGTCTGCTTGCTTCAAACTTTTTTTTTTTCTGTTACTGTGATTCGTAAACAAAGGAATGGGCATTGTTCCAGATAGTTTATTAGCGTTTGAATGTCTGAATTCATTTTTTGGTGCTAATACTGAGGGCGTTCTTTTCCAGCGCTAAAATTCTTAATGATCAGACATTAATCTTGATTTCTCAGTGCTTTTCTATGTGGTACTTCCCGAACCTCTTTACCCTAAAATTGAGATGATGAATCTTATTCACTGCATCTCTTTGGAGCTTGTTGCAGACTAGTGCGTTGGAAATACAGAACAGTGCGGTTTTAACTCTTCTCCCATAGGCTCAGTTTACCCTCAGTCATTGACTTGGACGTACTTGCAAACTCAAACCTAATAAGCTAAAAATATATTCCCCTGATCCAAAGCCAGTGGGTGCAGAAGAAATTCTGTTTCCAGACTTTCAGGGCTTCCAGCAATACTGCCGTTTTCTGTGACCAGAGATGGTGTCTAACTAATCTTTTTTATCTCCAGTGTGCAGCATAATAGAAAGTAATGATCAGTAATGTGGAAATATAGCTACTGCTTATTTAATTTAAATTGATTAAGCCCCCAATTGTATGCATTTGTACCTAAGTCTTGAGTAATTGAAATAAAAATTATTTCTTGTAGGGTTTTTACTTGGGACGTCGTTTTTAGTGACTAGGTCTCCCACAAGAATATGTGAGAAAATGACTGATTTAGAGTTTTGGTTGTGTTAAGCTCTTGTGTCTGGAAGAAATTGCCAGTTGGTTTGGAATTACCAACTTTATTACCTAGGAAAAGGAGATTCCTATTTGTACTACAAAATAGAAGGAATTATCTACTATAGTTATTTAATCTATTTATTTAGTTTTTTAAAATTTGTGTTTTTTAGCGCTTCTTTCCAGGGGTTAGGATAACTTTTTTCAGAGTGTATGAGTTGATTAATTTATCTTTGTTAGCTTGATGTGAACAAGCCCGTCACCCCATCCTTTCCTTGTACATTGAACGGGAGTCACAACAGTTACAACCCAAGTATTTGTTTTTAACCAGTTGATTTGTTATGGGTGTGCCCCCCCCTACACACACATGGATAATTCAGATATTTTAAAATTATATTTAATCGTCTCTATAATTTAAAATAGTTGAGTGCAAAAATTTTGGGAAGCTACTCAATATAGATAAGAACTGTTACTTTTCGATCTAGCTGCTTTCAGCCCCATTTGGTGCAGATTATAACTGTATACATATAAATAATACTTTTGATTATTTTTTTAAGCCAACACTAATTAAGTTAGGCTAGGGTGGTGTTTCTGATATCCTCTTGGCACTGAATACCATATATAAAGGTGAGGATGGCTGTAAGGTTGAGAAACACCTGTGGACTGGTGGGTCTCTGGTGGGGAGGAATTCGGACAGTGTGTTGATGCTTATTGGTGTCTCTTTTCTCTTCTAGGACCAGCAGAGAGAAGAGATTCCATGTTCCAGAGGTCGCCACTGTCTGCCTCCCCACTTGTCCCCATCCGCAGTCATCATTTTTTTAATGTAGTATAGTGACACATTAGTTGTCTAGTTCTTCATTGTGAATGTGGTTGAAATCCAACAACATTCCTATTGACTTATTTTCAGTAGGTTATTCTTACTGAAAATTGTCTTTGAGTGTGATAAACTCTTCACCCAAAGATACTGAATTTTTTAACGTAAGATAAATATTACAAGTTTCTGAGCTATATAAAGCCTTAAATGAATGATAAAGATGTAGTTTGGATTTTTTTCATATTTTTGACTAATTAAATACCTGTGACAGTGGAGCATGTAAATACTATTTTAGTGGAATTTTGGTTGACAAATGAATTTCAAGTAATAGTGTTTGATAGAATTTGAAAACTACAAAATCTTGAAGTATCATTCAACATTTTTTTCTCAATGGTTTTTCCTTTAACATTTGCAATGAGTTTTTCTTTCCTATTTACTCATGAGAAATTAAATCTTATTAAAGAAAATATATTTAATGTCAGATAAATAAGTTCTATTAGTTGTAGCTTATTGTTTCTTAAAATGAATTACCTAAACAGCCAAAAAGTTAAAAGTAAATTATTGGTAATTGAATTTTTCCTGTTTTGCCTTGCAGTGTGAGGAGTTTACAAATCAAAATGTCTTTGGGTTATAAACATTGTATAAGTCAGGCCCTGTGCTTTCCAGTATATGGAGCTAGGCAGCAACCTTTCCTATTTGGAGGGGAGGTCACACAAAGACCTTTTAAATTAATATCAAGCAAAAACCAGATTTGCAAGTATCCTGCAACAGGGACTTCCCCAAACCTTCTATTACTCATCCCTTCTGAATCCATTTTCAGTAACTAAGTGGAATGTTTATTTTGTTGTTCAGTGATTCCTAAATTCATTAATTTGGCAGATTTTTTTTTTCCTCCTCCTGCTATGATTTATTTTAGCATTTGTAGAATTTTGTGTACTGTCCTACAGCTCTTTATGGAAGCCTCAACTTTCTTTATGTCTCCCTGCCAGTGGCTTTATAATTTTTGCAGGTAGGCTGACTTTAAAAAAAATTAAAACCCTACACTTCTGGACTTTGTAAAAGGCACTGGTAATGTTATGTACATACTAATGTCTTGTAAAGTAGGTAATTGAATTTAATAAAAACCAAATTTTATCACTAAGCTTGTTCATTTTTCTTCAGATTTTCCCCTCTAGTACTTAATATTTCTATCTCTGTAGAATAATTACTTCATTAAAGATCTTTTTATCCTCCTGTAAGGCTGAAGGACCCAGACTTTATTTAGGACCATTACTGAAGATGATTTTCCACAGACTGAATTCAGCGAATGTAGCGTTAGTCCAATTGATTAGCAAAGGCAGTTTCTCTAAATCTTATGTTTTTTTCCTGGCAAATATAATAGTGTGGTTTTCCCATCTTAATGCCTTACCTATTCTAATGAAAATGAGATATGATAACTATCAGACAACAATTTTGGTTTCTCAGCGTTCTTATGCCATTTCAAATGTTTCACTATTTAATGTCTTGTATCTTAGTTTTATGTCTGTGTCCCAGCTGTTCAGATATAAAATGCTCTAATTGAAATGTGTCCAAAATTAAGTTTTCTGATTGAAATGGATTAATAGATGAAAAACAGAGACTAATGTTAATCTCAGATTTTGTTACTCAGTCATGGGTTTAGTAATAAGTTGGCAGTTTCTGTGATGACTTGAATATTTGTTTTTCAAATGTTTTGATGTTATATTATCTTTCCATGTTAATACTTTGATGGGATGATCAAAACAGTAATTATCTTCCATGGTTATGTACTCTCATGGAATTCCATGGAGTTCAGTGAAGATTTTTAAAAATACTTTGGTTTAGGGAGGATTAAGTTGTGGAGAGAACTTTAAAGAAATAGAAGCTTGGGTGAAGTTTTAACTGTCAATGAGTGGGATAAGTTATTGACCAGTAATAAATGAGTAAGAAGTTCAATTTGAAACGGGGTGGGGGGGGAACCCTAAAAGATAGAAAACTTTTGGGTTAGAACAAAATACAATTCAAATCTAATTAATTGCAAAGATTTCAGGGTTGAATATTGTCCAAGAAGGCTAATCCAGGTGCTCCACTTAATATTAATCATAAGCATTTTGTGTGGTGCCATTGTTTTGGTTGATATTTTATTGGCTGTGTCATATATTAAGTCAGTTGGCTGTAACTTAACCTAGACATTTTGCTATGGTTCAGTGTGTAGTCCTGGGAACGTATGAAATAATTTACTCTCAGATTCAGGTCATCTTGTCAATATCATACCATCTAGATTTCTTCACTTAATGATCTGAACTCTACCTAGGTGTAATTACTCTCATTAAAGAGTGTGCCTAGAACCTAAAAGACTATCCAGACATTCATAATTCTGAAATGGGAACATAGATATACTTATATACTTTAAAAAGATGATCCCCCTTCCCTTTTTGGCTAGTTATGATTAACTTTGCAAGGAATATCACCTTGCCTTTAAGTAATCCAGTTGTGTTGTTGAAACATAAATTTTTATTAATATTTAATGAACCCTCTGCTAAGCACTTTGCTGAGATTTTTCACATACAGTATATCCTTTAATCCTCACAACAACTGAAGGAAGTAGGCACTATTACTATTCCCAGTTAACAGTCTGGGAAATTGAGGTTTAGAGAAATTAAATAATTTGTTCAAGTTAATACAATAAATAAATAGTGAAGACAGGATTTGCACGTGTGTGATCTATCCAGTGCTTCCTTCTACAAGCAGTTTATAATTGTTAGCATCTCACTCTCACTTTTCCTCTTTTTGAAAATACTAAATCTGGTAGAACTTTTGTGACTCAAGAAAGATACTATTACATATAAATGTTAAAAATTAAATTGTTAGATTCCCTTAATGCAAGATGTTTTTAACCTGGGACTTCATACATAGAATTTAGGGGATCCATACATAGATGGGAGGTCATTAATCTCTTAATAGATTTAGCTTCAATTATGAATGTTGACAACACACCACAGTAATATTAGCAATGCTTGTGATACTGCCAATAAAAACCATAGATATTTTAGTATCACAGAGTTGATGCAGAGATCTTAAAACATCATATACATGAGTCACTGTTTTGACACTAGTAACTATTAGAGCTGCCACTAGATCCTGTTAATGCTTTTTTTTTTTAAAGATGTTTGATAATATTTCAGTAAAACTGATTTCCTTGTAAACCTGTGTATTTTATATATTTTAAACATTTAAAGGGCTTGTACTGAGAGGTGTCCATAGGATTAAACAGACTGCCCAATATTTCTCATATACAAAGCTTAGCATCTAAGATTCTGAAAAAGCTGAATGTTGTTTAGGTATGCTCTAATTTACAGGTCCTGAAAGAGTTAAGTCACAAAATCGCATAACAGAAAGAATCATACATAATAAACAACTTGTTTTACTTTTTGTTGCTTTACAAAAGTATAATTTCTGATAAAATTACTTTGAGGTGTAAGTAAAGTATTTTTGATGTGCAATGAAATGTTTTTTGAAAGGTCAGAAACTTAATATTCTTAAGTATTCATTTATTTTAAAAACATTCATATATTGTGAAAGGCTCCCTAGTACTAGTGATTGCTTTTATTTCATATGTAACTTTGCCTTAGTTCTTTTGGGTTTAATTTCTATACTATTGTTCTAACTCAAAATCTTCAAGTTGTGCCCTGAGATACAAAGCAAACTAGTTAGGACCTGAAGAGAAATTTGACTTGCTAATGATTGTATTAGGGCTTTTGCTAAAACAGTTCTCATAAAACAATTGCAGCTCTAAAGTTGTGGCTGAAAACAATATTGAATCCTAGAAGCAGAAGCAAGACGCCAAGTATTCAAATTGAATACACTGTTAATCTTGAGTAGAATTTGGTATTTTACTATTTTGTGAGGGAGTATTTTGGTATACAAGAAAAGTCATGATTTTTATTCCTGTTTACTACTTTGAGTTAGTTAATTAAGCACTTCATTTAGTTCTACTAATCATAGATTAGGATGGTTACAGTTTGTTTTCTGGGAAGTATAGGTAAATAAACAAACACAGAAAACACTAAATGCTGATGGCTTTCTCTGGTCCCCTATTGCTACTGGTTATCTGAATTTGTCTCCATCTGGTACCTAACAAAAACTGGGGGAAAGACTCATTTTTGCAAATCAGCCTATGAGCTCTTAGCCAAATTCTTTTATGTAAAGTCAATAGAGAACATTCCCATTATATAGGTAAGGAAATTGCATGTTTTTGAGCGCGGTTAAGTCACTTGTCCAATCTCAAAGCTAATGGTGCATCAGGCCTGACACTCAGGACTTCTGGCTTGGGGTAAGTAGTACCTCACTGGGCTGGTCTGCTCTTCCTCTCCCTGACCCTCATGATGTATTGCTTCCTTAGGAACCCACATTTAGTGCTTGCCCAGCAATGTGGGGAGCATTAAGTACTGAAAGGGAGAGCTCTGTTCTGCCTTTGGGGGTCATTTGCAATGTTTCTGCCTTTTCAGGAATTGTCACCTGAGCAAGTTATGATAGGGTGCATTGTGTGAAAGATAATCTGAAGGGTCAACTTTAGTGCACTTTTGATGTGTATTTAATGGCGCTGTGCCCTGGCTGGTGTGACTCAGTGGACCAAGTGCTGGCCTGCGAACCAAAGGGTCTTAGGTTCGATTCCCAATCAGGGCACATACCTGGATTGCAGACCAGTTCCCCATTTGGCAGTGCACAAGAGGTGACCACACATTGCTGTTTCTCTCCCCTCCCTCCCTACCCCTTTCTCTGGAAATATATAAATAAATACCACAGTAAATTTAAAAAAATGGCAATGTGACTGGTTGTTTGCTAAAAGCATGTTTTTTAAAGCTAAAAAGACATTTAAGGAAAATGACATTATTTAGAATATTGACAAATCTATAAAAGTAGTCAAAACTTCTAAAGTAACATTTTTAAAAAGTAATTTATATTCTTATACAGTAAAACAATTTTTAAAAATTTTATATATGAATATTTTTTAATGTCAAATTCTTGGTACATATTAATATACTATATCTAATGTTTAAAATGTAAACATTAAATGATAGAGGAAAGCAATGGAATTATAAATCCAAATTTCAGGATAGTATTTAGCCACAGGAGAGAATAAGGGTTTTGAATAGGGGAAGGTTACACAGAGGATTTCTGTGATTATAATCTTTATTCAACTGTTAACATTAATTGTATTATTTTCCCTTTTCATATGTTTTATAGATGCTTTTCATGTATTCACTTTTAATATAATTCAGGAAGACCTATTTTGATAACATTGAAAAAACATTTTAGGATAAGAAATATCCAGAGTACTACATGCTTCACCTTTTTATTTTGCACATTTCTTTTATTCTAGCCATATGCATACATATTTTAACAGTCATAATAATGACTGTATAATTTTCATATATTCACTTTATACAATGAATATTTTCACACATTGCTCTTCTTTCTTAAAGATTTTATTTAGTTTTAGGGAGAGAGGAAAAGAGGGAGAAAGAGGGAGAGAAACATCAAAGTGTGGTTGCTTCTCACGCCCCCCCAGCTGGGGACCTGGCCCGCAACCCAGGCATGTGCCTTGACTGGCAATCGAACCAACAACCCTTTGCTTCGCAGTCCAGCGCTCAATCTACTGAGCCACACCATCCAGGGCACATACTGTTCTTTTATAATTATTTTCATTGGCTGCATCATAATTTTTAAAAATTGCATAATTTAACTCTTTGATAACTCCACAAATATTTAATAAATATGTACAATGTGCACATACTCTTTTAGGTGTAAAGGATATAATATAAACTGGCTGCCTTAGCCAGCTTAGAGTAGAGTGGGGGAAACAGTAATTTTAACAAGGACTTGTAATACTACAAAAGAGAAAGAGCAGGGCACTGGGAGCTCATGGCGAAGGCAGTTCCCCAAGGTAAAGGGTCAGAGAACATACACCAGAGTGCCTTCTGAGCTGAGATGAAGATGTGGGCGTGAAGGAGGAATAGACTTGGTAGGGAGGTTTGAGAGGTGAGAAGGAGAAGGAGTGTTTCAGGTTGAGGAAATAGTGTATGTGAAGATCCAGAAATCAGAACCTGGCACAGTGGGTAACTTGAAATGTAGCTGCATGTAGTGTGGGACTTGGTGAACTCTGTGTTCTTTAGCTGTGAAGCTAAAGAAAGCTCGCGTGGGCTCG